TTCCTTCGTTTTCTCTTCTTCTTTCTTTCCTTCGTTTTTTTTTTTTTTCTTTCTTCTCGTTTTTCTCTTTTCTTTTTTCGTTTGGTTTCAATTCGCTTGCGAGCTTCTGCTTTTGAAATTGCTTCTCTCGTATATGTATGTATGTACATATATATATATATGTGTGTGTACATGTAACAGCTTCGTTACCTGTGTTACACTCCGCCGCTCTGGTAGCCTCGTACTTCTCGTTTCCTGTCTTTCTTCTCTATCTCGATGTTCGTAGGCAAAACGCTTGTCTGAGCTACTGCCGCCTGCCCGCGAACTCTCTTCTCTTGCCAAGGAAAGGTTGCAAAGTGTCCTCGGATACACTCGACGAGCGTATCGTTGCATCGTTACGATGCCATTCGGGAAACATGATTCCGGATTAAACGCGACTAAATCCCGAGGACGGAAAAACTGTTTATTCCAGAAACGCATACGCTCGTATGCTGACAGTATCTCGAGGCATTTGCCCTCGGGCAACGAGATTAGCATCCGACGCCGAGATAGAAGGAGGTTTCGAAGATGCTCAAAGTATTGCAAAATCAATGGGTTAACGAGCGTCAAAATACGTAATACGACAAATTAGACGTCCAGTGCGCATCACGGCACGACTGCACTGCGCCTGGAGAAACGCCAAACGAAGCAAAGCTCGGCTGCCATGACAACTTCCGCCCGAAGTGACATCAACACCACGTTACAACGGAGTTACTTTCGAGCCCAGTTTAATTAAAGTTGCATTCACGGATTCGCGTTCGCATCAGAAACTACTTATGACCACTAGACAGTCTCCAATTAATATAACAACGAGCAACTTTGCTCGCGCTGCGCTCCGTCGCGAAAGACGCGGCAGTACCATTTGAAACTGGATGGCTCGTTGAAAAGTAGACGATGGCTGATATCGAAATGCAGCGCACGTTGTGAGCGAGCGAGCACCACTTCAAGGGTACACTTCACCAGGGCATACGGGAATAAAACCTCGCGTACCAGTCGCAAAAAAGTAACCTGCATGTTAAACATTGGACACACGTTGTTCATTGGAAATTTCCTCGTATTTAGATCACGATACTCGTATTTAGTTCCGTAAGACGATCTAACAACGGATACTCTCGACACGAACACGCTTTAGATCGCTCTAGGTCACACCGAGGAAGGTATTTATATTTAACATCTTGCGAGTTTGCGGTAACCGTGTATCAAAGGTAAATTTAATTCTAAGTTGTACGTGTGAAAGAAGTAGTAGAGCAAAAAAATAGCAACTACTTTTCCTACTGAAAAACACGGCTCCCGCATCGACAAACGGAGTCGTTTAACTAATACCGAATGAAACAGTACAACGAGACAGGCTTCTGTTTATGTATATCATTTTTATTATTTTCGTCTTCCAACAGCACCCTTGAAGCGGTATCCAAGCATCGCAATAGCATAAATCCGTACGTTTATCCGGCATAAAACTTTCCGCGCTTGAAAACGTCACAAAAATATCGCGGCAACGTATACAACGTCGATGACGGCGGTAAGCGTCGCCTCGGGTTGAAATCTTTCCAGCATAGCTGGAGTGAGTGTCAGCCGTTATTGGAGCTGTAAAATGTCCAAGTTCGTTTCTAAAGTTTCCTGAATTTCTCTCTCTCTCTCTCTCTATATATATATATATATCCTGCCTTTCAACAAAATTTCACACCTATAACAATTGCGAGAATTTCAGCTCTACGTTTGTAATAGTCGTAAAATCCTCGATAAAGTGTGGACGAGATAAAATATGACAAAAAAAAAAAAAAGAGGGAGAATTCGTGTACAACGCGAATCCAGAAATTTATGGCGACAATTGTTATTTATCGGTCGCACGATCCCACGATTTGTTTCCATCCCTTTTCCTTTGTCACTGAACTCCCGGCATCCTAAATCAAAACTTTTTCCAGGCAATCTCTTCGCGCACGCATAAAAATCATTTTCACGGCGTCCTCGCCAACGATCCGAGTGCGAAGAGCACAAGCGTTATAGAAAGGTGTTTACGTGCGTGCGTAAACGCGCCGAGCGAAATGACGAGAAGCATCGGACAAACTGGGCTATATAATCGGAGCACCGTGTGTTCATGCACCGTGCGATTATATGATCTTACGGACAAAGTGTACGACGCAAAAGAGCACGTGAAAGATGTTTTAGATTCACGGCTCAATTCTTGTATGGCAATTTTTCGGTACGCTTCGACGACCGACGATTCAGCAAAGCAAAGTTTTTCACAGACGAAAGAGCATCGACACATCGGTCCAGAAGTTGACCACTTTGACTTTGTTACGAGTCCATTACGAGTGTGAGTCCAATTGATCTCGAGAGAGATCGATATATCGTATTTGGAAGAATGAATCTATACTATACACATTGGACGACGAGCGTTGTGAAATGAAACGACCGAAAAGAAAAGTAATCAATGTCACACTAAAATTCCAACAACTTTCAGATATCCTGCTGCATATCGTGTTGCTACTGTTGTCGAGTTCGAAGTTTCGATTAGACATAAGTATTTATAATTAGACTTAAGATTCTCTGTTCGCAATACGGACTAGGCAGTGCATGTCGCTTCGATATAGCGTCTTGTAGCATGCTTGCACGTATTAGTGGTGTTGCTCAAGTAATAATAGTCTATATGGAATACATATAATCACCATATACACGGTCCATGCACCTTACCGCTTTCGCGTGTACACAGGAATTACCCTCGCGTCGCGGAACTCCCCTTACTGAGATCGACCACGTCGACAGAGATCCGACGCGAGCGAACGGTGTACCCGAGCGATACACAGCTCCAACCTGTATAATTTCCAGTTCTATCGAGTTATCTTATCGTCGAAACTTGGAAATAAGGGTCCGAATTTCAGGAACAGCGTACAACGTGTAACCAGCAATTCGCCATTCACGCTCGCAGCTTGCTGGTCTCTTTCGAATTAATCGGACTTGTCAGGTCCGGTAGTATTTAACTCGATGAAATTAAAAATGAAAAATATTTGACGCTCGTAAATATTCGGCGTCCTTTTCGGAATAAGCCATCTTGAAAACCTATGCTAATCTATGGAAAATTCTGGAATCAATGGGAAGGTTTTTAATTCCCCAAACGAGATGCAAATGTATGGTGATTTATAGCACGATCGATGTACGCGATGTTACTTGTCTTCAATAAGCCAACTTTTAATAGAGCGTCTTCGTTAACCAGCGAAACTTTAATCATGTTTAAATGTGTTCCCGTGTAATTACGTCCCCGCTAATAATAGACTAATCGAGAAACTTCTCGATCTCGAATAATAAATTCAGCCATCGGAATCGGCTGTACGATCGTTCGGTCACTTAAACTTTCTTCTTAGAAACGAGAGCTGCTCGCCTCGTGAGTGGAAATTTACGACGAACAGCACGCTACAACGTTTGATGAACTTACGATCTGGTCTCGCGTGAGAATCATTTCTTCCTTTGTTTTTTTTTTTTCTTTTTTTTTTTCTTCTGCTCGACGAGTCGAACCAAGTAATCAAACTTTAAACCAAGATCCTTGAATGTTTCAGAACGCGCAACTCCTCTCCGCGAGAATCTATTTCTAACCCGCGTTGAATCACGGTGTTTTCACTCGGCGAGCATCCGAGTTAAAACGACGATACTTTTAAATATTAAATACATTCACTCGCCGATACTCGCTTCATATAAAATCGTGCCCATTCAATCGCGCCGCGGTTTCTTGGTCATGCGTGAAATTTTTGATTGAGCGTTTCACGATCTTCCGTTCACTTGGACCCGAACAACCAACCCGTGAAATCATTTGTTGCGAGCGAAAATTCGTACAAATGCAGCGCCGACTGTACCGAAAGTACCGAGGCAGTGAAAAGAAAAAAAAGAAAGTAATTTTCCCTCGACTTCGACATGGACAACAACTTCACGAAAAACTGACGTCATACCACGCTTTGTTCACCGATCAAACGAATGGCAGCGTGACGTCGAAAAACGAAACGTCGAAGAAGAACCTCGATAAGGTTACGCGAGTGTTCAAGTGGCCGATTTAGCGGGTTACGATAACCACGGCACGTGATCCGGAGAAGTCGAGCTACCTGTCGACGTCCACGATCTCAGTTTTGTGTTTCCTCTCCCCCGTTAATCGATCGCTCGATTAATTACCTGTCTTAAACGATCGCGTCTCGCGCTTCACGTTTTCTTTTCGTTTTCCCTCTTCGTGTTACGTCTCGCTTGCGTTCCCCCCTGAACCACCCCGGTCTCAGCCCCGCGTCTGTCTCGCGTACAATCGTATTTCTCTTTCTTTCTTTCCGTTTGTCTCTTTCTCGCGACGTCTACGTCCTTTCGGAAAGACGCTGAACCATCCTCGAACTACCCGCCACGAACTACCCGCCTCGCAAACAAACAGAGAAAATACGATACACGCGAGGAGAACGAGCAACAGCGTGAAAGACGGCCGCGTTTTCTTTTTTTTTTTTTTTTTCGTCGTACAGCGTGTTCCAGTGGCAATACAGAGCACGATTCTCGTTGTCGTAGACACGCGTGTGCACACGAACGTGCAACGATATCGAATCGAATCAGACTGTTTAATCGATGCAGATCTATTTATTCGCGTTAAGGGGGAATGAGAGACGCGTCAGATGGGGAGGCTGTCCGTTATCCAGCCGCGATATCGGTTTGCATTCGCTCACTTCCTCGCGCATCCGGCGAAACAGCGTTATTTTTAACGAAGGCATTGTCGCGTAACGCTGTTAGCCTACAGTCTATACGAAACGTGTCACGTTGCACTGTACCGGCGGCCATTGTGATTCTCAGACGACTCAGACCGTGCCGATCTCGCGCGGCGTTACACGAGGCCCGAAATTCGACCATTTCGACCATTTTACTTTAAACTTCACGTTTTTCCACGCTCGACCTCGCCGCGTCGTATCGTACCACCGTTGTTCACCATTCTAATGAATTACGGCGTGTGTGTGTGTGTCTCGTGCCAGGACTTCACGCTGGATTTTTACTTCCGGCAATTCTGGACGGATCCGCGGCTCGCGTTCAAGAAACGGACGGGCGTCGAGACACTGAGCGTCGGCTCGGAGTTCATCAAGAACATCTGGGTGCCCGATACGTTCTTCGTCAACGAGAAGCAGTCGTACTTTCACATCGCTACCACCAGCAACGAGTTCATTCGTATTCATCACTCGGGAAGCATCACACGTAGTATACGGTGAGTGTCAACCATATTCGTTTCGTTCGTAGTTGTAAGTACTAGGTACGGTACACTCCGCCAGCGAGGAGAACCAAATTTGACACATGTTTGACAACTTTCGCATTCAATTTGCGGAAAGATGTAGTTATTATCAATAATGTTTTTATTGTCAATAATCGATAGCCGTTGCTTGGCGAAAAGACAAAAATCTTTTCTAGTCTCGAAAAGTTCACGGATTAAATCTGTTGAGATAGAACGTGTAGACGACGTTTCAACGCCAACGAAAATCTTTGGAAAGTACCCTCGACCTAGGGCCAATTTCTGCGAACACGAGACGCAGCAGTAATTCTCGTGGCAACGACGTCGACAAAAGTCGGCGAATCCTCCCCAAACGAAGGAGACTTTCCAAGTAATGGAATATATATCCTGGCGTGAGGAGGAGCGCGCGATAAAACTGCCACGTTCAGATGCGATTTTAACCCCGTTTCAATACTCCTTACCAACCACCGTCTAAACATTCAAGGAAGCAATTGTACCAACGGCGACAAATTTTCTTCCAAGAGCATCGGTCCTCGTCGTTTCCATCCCCTTCTTTCATCGACACCAGGTCGTATCCGGATCCATTCCCCTCTGAGCCAACGTCAAGTGTTCCGGTATTAACGGTGCTGCTATATTCAAACGATCCATGCATACCTAACTTTCCCTTACGCGCGCACCCTTTCGTTGCTTTATATTACATTGCCTTCCGAATCTAGAGGAAGCGAAGGCCGACTCGACGAGAAAACGAGAAAACGACTGGTCGACATGTCGACACTTAAACGTAAATCTTTTGCCTTTTTTTCGAGAATTTTTGCAACGATAACTCGCCGCTTGAAATTGGTCTTGCGGAAATTTAGCATCGATCGCACGTGGATTTTTGAAGTATAAAGAGAAACGTCCATCGTCGTTCTCGTTTCATGGATTGAGAGTAATTTTTTTGCGTTTGTTACAGTTTAACGATCACGGCATCGTGTCCAATGAATCTGCAATACTTTCCAATGGATCGACAGCTCTGCCATATCGAGATCGAGAGCTGTAAGTACGCACGTGCGCGTGTATAAATGCATATATACATATATACAATGCCGAAGCGAAGTGACGATATATTTGAGAAAAGTTCGACACCCTCGCCTCCGTCCACTGTCACACACAGACACGCTACATACGTTACATGGAAACATACGATTCGAATTAATCATCGGAGCATCAACAGTGTCGATCTTGCGAACGGCAATCGACGTTAGCCGTAGTATCAAAATCAAATCGTTCTAAATGCGATTCCGCTTGCCAGTTTCCGATTCGTCAACGATTCGTTCTCGTCAACGAAGGATAAAAACATTTCATCGCGACAATTGTAAAGGGAGAAACCGTTTCGAATTGGGTCAAGTGTCGATTGCCGTTGATTAAATGCAACTCAACTGTACATCGCTTTCAACCCCTTTTTCAGATAAGCTCAGAAAGACGCTTCTGTCTGTGTACATTTGCGTCAAACGTGACAGGGTAAAAAGAACAAATTGTGAAAAAAACGATACCAAAAAGAGAAAGAAACCTAAGAAAACCTCGTATGTTCTTCTTTTACACGCTCATACGAAATATCGTTACCCGACACCTTACAGCCCACCCCCTTCAACGCGACCAACCCGTTCTCTCTCTCTCTCTCTCTCTCTCTTTCTCTTTCTCTCTCTCCTCCAAGAAAATTTCCCCGAGATCCACGGATCCATAATCTTCCCCGTTTTCCCTCTCTTTCTAGCTATCTATCTATCTGTCTGTCTGTCTGTCCATCACTCGCCACTTAACACGCTCACTAACACACGAATCAGTCACACGATCCGCGACATCGTCGTGGATCATTTTCATTCACTCCGTCCACTCACTCACTCGCTCACTCACCCGCTCTCTCGCTCACTCTTATTGGGTTTTCTATACCATTCACGATGACTGTTACCAACTACGTGACATCGTGAACTTGCCGAGCCGGACCGCGTGTTCACCTTTCGTCGGAAAATTCTAATTCGAAGACGAGTCGGTAAACAACGAGAGAACGAACGTTTCGTCGGTAAATTTCAAATTCGATCGAATTTCTCGCGAGAAGCTACAGCTATGAGTTATAATTTCACTTACTTAAACACAAAGCGAGAACGTGATTAATTCCCTCTAGATGGAATCCGCGATTCTGGAACAGTTCGGGGCGATTGTTCGGCCGAATTTCGATCGTTTCGAGTCGGATCACGCGTGCGGCTCGGCAACGAGACACAGTGTGTACGAACAACAACAAGAGCACCTTGACGAGAAGCGTGTCCGCAATAGCCGAGACGGGACCGTCTCGATCGGGGACGCTCGCTGTATACGCAATCAACCCTGACGTTGACTTCCGCACGAAAACGAGTCGATGACACACGGCTCGAATTAGACGTGCCGCTGCGTTTAGGCTGCTAATAGTGTTGCGAGAACGCATAGAGAACACGAGAAAGGTCTCGGTAAAGCGAGAGACAAGCTAACGCCCCTGGGTAACACACCAGTGTACGGTGGCACGTACGGGAGAGCTAACCAACCACCTTTCTGGCGTGGGTGTAGATGTTGCGGCTATGGATCCCTCTGTGCGTGTATGTGTAAGAGCGCGAATGGCCTGCGTGTGCGTGTGTATGCGTGTACTGTCACACGAGCTCGCGCCGACTATCACATGCTGCAAATTGCACGCGATTATTGGGTGTGCGGAAACCGAAAGAGGATGCCCGGATGCTCAGCCTCTCTCTCTCTTTCTCTCTTTCTTTCTTTCCGTCTCTTTCGATCGACGAAAATTTCCTTCATTCAGTATGGAAGAGAACCCCCACTGACCACGACGGATCAATCTGAATGAACGAATTTCTTCTCGATCGTTTCGAAGAGAAGAAGCATCGTGTGTGCTTCGAGCTTGAGAGAGGGCTGGCAACGATCGATTGGCCTTCGAGGATCCGCGATCCGTGGAAAAGTGGACGAGCCGTCGTCTCGTTAGAAAACGTCCATCCATCGTGAACAAGTTGTCGATTCGTTAACGATAATCGGGCCAGCAGCTCCGATCATTCATAGCAGCATCCATTAAATCATTGCCCCTGTTATCAATAATTGTACCGTATAACCCGGCCAGCCAGCTATCCGTCTCGATTCGATACAATATTATCGACGGTCGAATGAATGTTAAAACGAACACACCTGGTGAACCGACCAGCTGAATCACGACGACGTCGTTTCGCGCAACGATGCTCAGGTCGAGGATCATGTACGTGTGTAAAACCGGGTTTCGGGACGGGCAGAAACAATCGATAAAGAGCAGAAAAAAAAAAAAAAAAAGAAAAGAGTCGTGAAACGCATCCGGTGCCTTTGATTATACCAGAAGTCCAACGGAGATTGGTAATCTATACCGGGGACAATGGAAAAAGTTTCGGCCTAACTCGTTCCGGCTAAGAGATCTATATTAAAACTCAGTCGTTTGCAGGATACGACGAAAGGCCGCCGGAAGTCGGACGCTCGAGATATCAAAGTAACTTGACCAAGTTCGTTGATTAGTTTCGCGGAGTAGAAAGCCGGATCGTGCCGTCGTCCTTAATTGCTCCAGCCTCGTCCCCGGCGAAATTATTACTGTCGTTAGAAGTATTTCTGTTCCGATCTGTCGCGGCCCGTGCACCCTTCACCTCTCCCCCTTCCACTCCTCACTCACTCTCTCTCTCTCTCTCCCTCTCTCTCGCGCGCAAAATGGTAATTAACAACGATTAATATCAAGGCTGTGACGCTACTTACGTAAATGGACGAGGCATCGATCGTCGATTCCAACCGTGCTCGAAACATTCGGCAAACATTCCGCGAGCATTCCGCTTCCTGGAAAATGATGTAAAAGCGCGCTTTTAGTAACAAGCAATAGCGTAATGGCGGAAACGCGCACGAACGGGACGCGAGTAGATTCGAATCTGCCTGTAAAACGACGTGCAATTATAGAAAATTACTCGATGACGTTCGACGATGCTCGATTCTCTCTCTCTCTGTCTCTCTCTCTCTCTCTCATTTCTCCTGTCGGTCGCTAATGTTCTCGCGTAATTTACCTTAATTTGTACAGCTTCATCCGCCTGACAAATTCCACATTTCACAATCCCGTCTAATTGAAACAACGCCGAATTTCCGATCGGAGGGCGGCCACCTTCGTTAGCACGAAAATGAAGGATCGTTGTCAATCGCGTTGAACATTCGAGTGTTGCGCAACCGAGTTTCTCCCCCGTGGCTATCTTTATACGCGGAGCGTTCGCGAGCCGCGTTTGCAGCCGTGCGCGCCGAATGCGAAACACGAAGCAAGGCGATATTAATTAAACTTTCCCGAACGCGATTCATTAGCGTCGTTGCTTGTAAATCTCGTTACTGGCCGATGTAACCCGTCCACCCGTTATCGTTGCGATTTATCGGGCCCCGGCGCAGGTCATCAACAACAAGCTTGGTCAAGCCGGAAAATTCATTCAATCCGGGCGAAAGAAAAAAAAAAACGGGGGAAAAAAAAGGAACAACAACAACAGAACGACGCTGCAGGCCTTTGTTATCGAACCAATTTATGATGTTTTGCCTGCTACGTGGCGCATTAACGTTGTTGTGCTACCACGTTTCCCAATGTAATCGCGTTTCGACGTTACACGATGCTGCTATCGTCGACGAGAGCGGACGTGCAATTTGCAGTAACTCCAAACGACAGGTAGTGAGCTCGATCACGCAGAAATACGGTCGGTCGTTAATCCACCGTTGGTGGATATCGAGCTGACCGACGTTAACGCAGCTAGAGCAGACGCATTTCGTGGTGGTTTATAGACATTAAAAAAAAAAAAAAAAAAAAAAAAAAAAAAAAAAAAAAAAAAAAAAAAAAAAAAAAAAAAAAGTATCAAAAAAGACCAAAATAAAAGAAAAGAAAAGAAAAAGTAGAAGATTAAAAGTAAAGAGATTATTCTCTCGTTGAATGGCGATTCTCTCTCGAAGACAAGTACGAATTTCTGCATCTTCGATCTGTAATCTGCGTGACATAACCGTACGTAAGTGTAGAACGTTATTTACGAGCATCCTCCGAAGGGTCTCCACTGTACCAATTTAACCACCATTGTGAACTATCACGTCGGTCTTGGCAAAACTTTCGTGTAATTTCTCCGCACTCGCACAACTAGCGAATGTCTCGCTATCGCGTCGAGCTTCCGCTCGATCGGGTAATATCGCGCAGAGAAAACGGTGGTATTCAGAGATCAATCATGCGAAAAATCCGATCAATCATACGAAAAAAAAAAAAATAAATAGAGAAACAAATACAAGGTACGATAAAATAGAAAGGGAAAAAAGAAACAAAATTACGGAGAAATCGCACAAAACCTGAGAAAACCATCGAGCACACGCACGGCTGTTTATAATGTCAGAGTTGTTTTTCTCAGAGAAAAACGAACAGAAACGTTGAACCTTTGTTACATCTTTCGCTCCGACGACGAGAGATAACTTTACGAACGTGTGCTACATGAATACACTGAAAGTCACCACTTTGCCACTGTCACAAAACCACCACCACCACCACCACCACCACCACCACCACCACCACTTGACCATCACTATCACAAAAACCAAGCCCCCGGCCCCCCTCTAAAAAGCCTCCGACATATAGCACTGAGCCTCGTGTCCGGGGACGTAGTAAGGGCCGACGACGGCCAGCCCCGAAGGAGGCTAAAACACAAAAAACGACGTGTCGACTACGGTGCGACCGAATTAAAACGCATTGTGCATCTAGCCCAGCGCATGTAAGAACTAAACGACTGCAGCATTTTAGCCACGACGGTGACGTGCCGTGGCCCCGTTCTCGGTATGCTCGATATATATATACATATATATATATATATCCATTTATATTATATATATATTATATATATATATATATATATATATATATATATCCATTTTTTTTCAAATATGTATCTGTTTATGATCTATTCTGACGTCCGAGAAACGATTTTCTCGTTCTTTTGTTCGTTTCTTTTTTTTTTCTCTCTCTCTTAATATTCCAATGAAACTGGTACCCAATTTTCCCCGGCCACTTTTGCGTATGCTACTTAACCATACTTATAGTACCGTAGTTTGATGATAATCCGCCCTAGATGAAAGTCGGCATGCCTTTGGCACGAAAACATTTTGTTCCGCTCTCTTAATCCAGGACCGAATTTTCGACTGCGCAACTTTAGTCGGCATCGAGTTTTTGCTTCCTGTTATTTGTGTACTTGTGCGTATCTTTAACGACCCGTGGGATGCGCCGCTTTGGGTCGCCGGTGATCTACCACGTATTTTTACCAGAAAACCGCCGGTTTTCGTCAAGCCTGAGGCGAAGTATTAATTTCGATTTAAACGTATCTCTTCCCTTTTTTTCTCTCAAGATAATAACGAAGAACTAGAAAGAACTAAAAACTTAAATATCGCGATAGTAGATCCTAATCTGATTCTCTTCTAATTACACGGGACGATGTTTCAAACGCGATAAAGTCGTAAAACTTGGACAAAGTTTCGTGCTAACCGGGTTCAAGTTGAGACGCGAAATTCGATTTCGAGATATTTCTCACTTTGAACGATGTACACGGTTCGCGAGCGCGTTATCGCGATTTGAATAATTCGATCGTCGAATCGAATCGTTCCGAGAGGAATGATCGCGCACGGATACGAACGATCGTTAACGTTAGAAAATTGATCGAGCGAATTCGACCCGAGTCTGAATGGGATCCAATAATGGCATACTTTACGAACGCGAATATTGCAAACGACCATTCCACCGGGAGTAAAAAGAAGTTAAATTCCGTGTTCAGAATTCGTGTCACTGGTAAAGCACAAAGCATGCGGCATCGGGCATGACGTACAAAATTACGTGGCACGAAGCATGCGATTGTATATGCTGATGCATGTATACGTATATGTGAATATATTTTGTCTACCTGTACGTGTGTGTGTGTGTGTGTGTGTGTGTTGGTGTGTGTGTGTGTGTGCGCGCCAAATCCACCCACGTATTTTCCAAATCCCGCACAAACCACCGCATGCCGAGGCACGAAACTTTTTTTCTTCGCTTCTCCATATCTACTTTATACACTTTCCACTTATCGTCTTATATAACCCGAACTTGGTACCACCACCACCACCACGATCCTATACGGTTACTCTTTGCTAATGTTGCCGGAACCATCCTTTTCTTATACGGTATTTCGCCGGTCACCGCGCTGATCTCTCCCGCCCCTCTTCCCTCCGCACCCCTTCAGCCCCGTAATGCTTAACGTTGCCCCAGTCCAGGACAATTTTTTTTTTTTTTTTTTATCGAGAGGAGAAAGGGATAAACAAGAAATAACCTTTCGACGTGCAATCGGCTCGCGCGCGCTACACGCGCGTACATCGGCGAACATTGGCGAAAAAGAAATATTTTCCGAAAATATTTTGTAAGATACAAATGGACGCGGAGTAATGACGCTTCACTTTGACAAAGGTTTCGTCAAAATCTAAAAAAAAGAAAAAAAAAAAAAGCGATTTAAAACCTTTGTATCGGACGATGTGTTTTCTAAAGCGCGTCGGTGTTTCGGACGCGAAGTGCGACAGATAAATACTAAGGCGAAAGTATCGATAGGAAATCTTTTAAAAGACAAACGCGTCGATTTTTTGGAAAAAGAAATTGGAAATGCAACGAATCGCTTTAAGGGAAAAAAGAAAAAAAATTAGAAAAAGGAAGAGGAAAGAGAAAAAGAAGAACAAGAAACAAGCTAGAGAAGAAAAATCGATAGTTGATAAATTAGTCGAAACTCCCGGGACGATTGAATTACGCGATCACCCGGCTGAAAGCAGCCGGTTGAACGTTAACAAGACTCGCTCGTGCATCGGGAAACATCGGAATCAGGCTGGCAATCGACACACGCCAAAGTCGCGAGCATCGTACAGATAAATCTGCCGAGCGGCAAAGCATTCGGCCCGCGCTGGGCCGGAATTACCAGGCGAGGCATTTACCAGCCTGAAAATGAGCAAACGGAAACGGGAAACGGCGATAGTATTTCCGTGTTCCAAAAACAAAAGCAGTTAATCTCGAATACTCGGTCGTGGGGATCGCTTAATCCACGTTTCGCCGATGTTCGCGCAATGTGGCCGACGCCGCGATGGAATGCCACTTTGGTGCCTGGAATGCGGTGTAACGATCGTAATCACCTAAGATTCAGTTACGGAGGAATGTTTCTCGGGCCGGTATGTGCACGCTCGAGGCCGCGCCGAGGAATTAGAGGAACATAAATAGGTGCGAATTCCGATCGATCGCAGAAAATTCGCCGTCGATCGCGAGGCAAATACATACCATGTGCGACGTTCTCGGCGCGTTGGAAGTGCGCGCTTAAGACCGGCAACGCTGTCCCATCCGCGTTTCGATAAATTATCCCCCGACACACGGGGGATATTTGTCCATCGTTCGGTTATTATTTATCCGGATATATATACAACTCGCGTTCCTCGCCTCGCGTTGGCCTCGACAGCTCGTACCGTTCCTCGTGCGAACGAATTTTTTGCGAGGGAAATTATGGACGTATGGAAAGTAAATCACCGGGACACCCGGGATAGCATTGACGGATAAACGCGAGAATTTATTAAACGACGATTAAACGATGGATGAAGTTGCACCACCGCCACCACCTCCCCCACAGGGGTGGCGAGGGAGGACTTTTTATACGTCCATAAAAGACGATTACAAACGCTGCACACGCGCAAACGATCCAAAGTATCGTCGCGTTTTTAGTCGCGTTCGACGAATTGGCCGAACTGACTGGTCTGTCGCCAGTCACTCCGGCCGACCGATTTATACATTCAACGCCTAGAGCTCGAATACGCCAACGATTTTTTGCAGCGCAGAAACGCACCTTAAGCCGATCCATACGTAGAAATATAGAATAGAACGATACGAGTTGTACAAAAGGTGTTTCACATGGATGATGTAAATAATATAGCGATAGACACTTTCATTGTGAAAGCGGTTTAGGGTGCTAGATACAATTTTTTGCTTCTATCTTTACGTCCCTTGTCCACTTACGACAACCCGAACCTCCGAACTTTCGAACAGTTTCAACCCTGTTCACACCCCTGTCCACCTGAAAAGTCCTCTTAATACCCACCACACAAAACTTGAGTGTCTAATTATTGTATGTTAGAGCGAAGATATTTGTGTTCTTGTTCTCCCGGCAGTTGGATACACAATGCGCGATATTCGGTACAAATGGAACGCCGGCCTACAGTCGGTCGGCATCTCGAACGAGGTGGAACTACCGCAGTTTCGCGTGCTCGGTCACAGGCAACGACATTCAACCATACACCTATCTACAGGTAGATATCCCCCTCTTATTAGTTCTTCCTTCTGAACTTCGTCCAAAAGGCTCGCGCAGATGATTAAATAATTATTGACTACTTGTTGTAACATAATTGTCACACGCGTGTACACGCCCGTTATATACAGTACGATATGTGTGAAGCGTTCTGTTGTTCTTTCCTTTTCCATCATTCTTATATTTTTTTCTCACACGTGTGTCTCTATATGTATATATTTATATATTTATATATATATATATAAATATTCTGATACTTTCCTTTCCTTTTTTGATTTGATTTTAACGTACCTTTCTTTTCTTTTTTTCTTTTCTGTTTATTGACTCGCACCGATATGCACCGATCATCGTGTCGCCTTCTACCGCGAACACAATCGATCGTTTCGATCAAGGAAGAGCTTACCCGCTAGGACGAAATCGTCCCCGGGGCTAACTCATTCGACCGATCGACCAATCAATCGACTTCATCGATCTTTAACTCCACGGAACAAAGGACGAAGACGAAAACTCTCCCAGTCATAGGAATCCATCATTCCCGATTTGATCCCTTATCACTGGTCAGAGGTCGACGACGTACTATTTTACTCAGGATCAACCGACCACGCGATATGGCAACTATTTCGAGATTACCGTGATATTTGACATTCGAAAAGGAGAAATTAGTACCGAGTCAACCTCCGACGAATCACCCACAACATCAGATCAAACCGACACGGACGGGCTCTCAGAAAAATTCAAAGAAAGAAAAAAGGAATACGAAAAACTTTTGCGTGATCCTTTTTTTCTCGATCGTCCACGACGATTGAAAAGATCACCACACCAAAAAACAAAAAAAAGAAAAAAAACGGAAGAAAGAAAGAAAGAAAAAGAGAACAAACAAACAGCTAATAAATTCCGCTTGCACATCCTCTTGCGCTCGTGTTTGATCTTTATTGTTCCCCCTCCCTCCGTTAAACGGATTATCGTCCCCGATTGAATGGTGATTCTCTCGTGAGAAAATCAAAGATTAAGAACGAATGAATTGGGACAGATAGATAGAGGAGAGAACAGAGAATGAAACGAACAGAGAAGAAAGGAACGAATAATAATGAGTTTACTACGAGACACGTACTCGAACTGAAGGAGAAAACATGACGAATGAGAGAAAATGAAAATAAAAAAAAAAACAAAAAAAATTAAACAGACACGTGTATGTATATAATGAGAAAGAGAGGGAAATAAAGAGAGCGGACTTGTTGGGGTTTTGACGGGGGTGCGAGGTAAGTGGAGGCCCCCTCGGAGCTGAAACGCGTTTGAGGGCTTCCGCGAAGGTACGTACCAACCGCGGGGGGTCTCTCTATTTTTTCAGTCGGATACACGATGAGGGACATCCGGTACAAGTGGAACGAGGGCCCGAACAGCGTCGGTGTCAGCAACGAGGTCTCCCTGCCTCAGTTCAAGGTCCTTGGTCATCGTCAACGAGCCATGGAGATTAGTCTAACTACCGGTAACGTATGAATAGAACCCCACCCCCACCAACAATCAAAAAAATAAATAAATAAATAAATAAATAAAAACATTAATAACTCAACCCTCGCTTTTAACGGTATGGGTAAGGTGGAGAGACACGTTTGCGCTATCCGATGTCCGCAGCCACGATGTCGCTCGCAGCAACATTACTCTACGTTGAGCAATCGTCGATCGATCGATCGATATCTCTCTCTTTCTCGCGATCTGGCCCTCCATACGATCCAATACGACTTTGACGAACATTGAGAAGACATTTTTAATTCATTTCGTCGTTACTTTTCACACTCGTTGCGATAGATTATTATTTATCTGACTATTCCTAATTCCCACTTTAACGATTTCAATGAAGTCCTGTCTTCATAATTTTCAGTGATTTTGATTATTCTAATAATTCCTAGAAGTTCGTACGAACGTTGATTCGTCGATGAGATTTCCGCGTATTTGAAAAGAAAAACGTTTTTTTCAAGATGACGGAGAAGATGGAAAGATATCTCAACGAGTTTCACCTTGAAACTCGTGCAATTTCATTAAAGCTCGACTTAATATCTTCTAAGTCAGGAGACACGCGCGGTGCAGTCGTCGTTCGCACCGGTACCGACGCATCACGCGAATAATCTCACCGCAAGACACCGCCATCGTTACCCTCTTCCGCGCAGCGGAACTTCCCTTCTTTGAAGTTCCATCTGCTCGAAGCTAACGACCAAGCTCATAACCGTGAGAGCCGAGCTGTAATCAGACCCACCAGGCAAATCCCATTTTCCTTCCGTGAACGTCGCTGATTCTTCCCCCGCGATTCGTAATGGGAACGATGCAAAGGAAGAAGCACTGCAAACCGACTGCAAGCAGCCAGGCAACAACTCGATTTTCTATCCACGCCGATTCCTCGCGCTCCGTCTTTTCCGCCTGGCTGCCGACCCCACGTTAAAGATACGCTCTTTTTACGAGATACGCTCCGCGCGATACCCTCCGTATTATCAAGCACATGCACCAGATCCATCAACGTTACGAAAACTTTGCCCAACGACTTTGACGCAACGAAGAGAAACGACGAGATGAAGGGAGAAAGAAAAAAAGACAGACAAAGAGAGAAAGAACATTCTCCCTGGCTTTTCCTCGTAGTGGATAAATATCGTAGCAAAGTTGTAGAGGGGAAGGTGAAAAGAGAAAGAGAGAGATACAGATTATAAGGAAAAAAAAAAGGGAAGTATGAAAAATGACAAGAGGCCAGAGTGAAACAGAGAGACATGGAAAAAAGAAAAAAATGAAAGTAACGACGACCAAAGGGAACAGAAAGAGACATTTCATGGCGCCTCTCCGTCCCCCTGTCTTAACTGTCGATCTTTTAATCGTAGGAAATTATTCGCGGCTGGCCTGCGAGATCCAGTTCGTACGGTCGATGGGCTACTACCTGATTCAAATCTACATTCCCTCCGGCTTGATCGTCATTATCTCGTGGGTGAGCTTTTGGCTGAACCGTAACGCGACCCCCGCTCGGGTGGCCCTCGGAGTAACCACTGTGCTCACCATGACCACCCTTATGTCGTCAACGAACGCGGCATTGCCGAAAATCTCCTACGTCAAGTCCATCGACGTTTATCTGGGAACGTGTTTCGTCATGGTGTTTGCCTCGTTGCTCGGTAAGTATCCTCTCGCGTGCGAATCTCCTTCGTTCTCGATATCACGTGATCTTTATACGGTTACCGCGGTTTCTTCGCGACGGAGGGAAATCCTCCGATTGTACGAGTTCTTTTCCTTTTTTATGATTGTCACACGCGTATCCTGTTTTCGTTATCTGCAATGGTTCTCTTGTGTTCGTAGAATACGCGACGGTGGGCTACATGGCAAAGAGGATTCAAATGAGAAAGAACCGATTCCAAAAGATAGCGGAAAGTATGAAGACAGCGAGGGAGAATCCAGGACCACCTGGAGTACCCGGTGATCACGGAGATCACGCGCCTAAGCAAACTGTGAGTGTAATATCGACCAATCTGTCGCGCCCCGTTCGTCTTTCGTTCCGATTAGAATGTTTCTGTTGCCATCGGCATTCCATACGCGTTATTATGCCTTTAGCCACGTAGTTTAATCGAACAAAAGAGGGAGAGAGAGAGAGAGAGAGAGAGAGAGAGAGAGAGAGAAAGGAAAAGAGAAAAGAAAGCAATTTCTGGCCGTTGTAGAATAGTCGTTATCGTAAATAGCGATCACCTTAGAGCTAGTCACGTTATTTTCGCTAGACCAGCATTGCCATTTTATCGTCATGTACCATCGATTATTTTTTGCTACTTTTTTGCAAGTTCCAAGTTTTAACGTTACACGACACGAACGTGGTTACACGACCACGGGGAACTCCGTGCGTGAAGTTTCTTCACGATAGCCGAAGGCTCGATCTTCGCGAGAAAGAAAAAAGAACAGAGAGAGAGAGAGAGAGAGAGGGAAAAAATGAAATATTTCTTTTTTTTTTGTAGTTCAAAAAACGAGTGAGCCGCGAAAGGTCAAAAGCTAAAAGGCTCTGCGAAATGAATTCCCATTCGGTCGTGTTACGCCGGTCAGCGACGGTGTTGGTGCCCGGACATGCAATGCACTATAAATTTTCTTTTAATCTCGGGGATTGTGAAACGAGAACGAAAAAATATTAAAGGGAACGCAAGGTGGGAAAGGGGAAGGGCCGAGGGAGAGACGAGAGACAGAAAGAAGACTGGAAAGGAGGCGGTGCCGACGGATGGATGGCACTGCGGTGCCGTCGCATAGGATAACGCGTTTTAATTAATTCTCTACTGAATTAATTACTCGTTCTTTGACACGTCTTGCAGACCGCGGCGCGCACTCGGATATAAACAACGCCTCGTGTCGCACGGCTCATTTCATCGGCCGGTATTACAGCTTCGGCAGAGAGAGAGAGAAAGAAAGAAAGAGAGAAAAATAGTGCACAGCAAAGGGAAAAAGGACGAAGGGCGATAATGAAAATGACACGTAGATAAAAGCACAACGACGTTGCTCCGGTGTCTTTTCTCTCTGTTCTCTACTTTCAAGCGTGATTAAACGCGAACGCGAAGTTTACATTTGCGCGGAATCCGCCTCGTATACTCGTTAGAATTCAATTACATTTCGAGCCACAGACGAACAACGGAAAATAAAGAAGTCGCGTGTCATAGACCTAAAGCAAGGTGAGTCTCTCGGAATTTGAGGCCCAACAGTGACTCACGGAAGAATCTGAAACATTGACCGCGGAAAGTTTCGCGTATACATTGTACGTATTGTATAAAATATACGAAGTTTCATTAGAGCAAGAATAAAACACGACAGTCGTAATTATTATTATTCGACTGTTCTCAAGTCTTCAGGTTTGTTCCGAACCTCACTAATTTAATCACGACAGTCATTGTCTCGTTCATTGTCGCTAATGAAATCTAAAAAAAAATACAATTTCTTACAATACACACCTATTCGTAAAGAGTCTACGAGTGTTCGAATACGTTTTGTGAGCCACTGTGGAGAAAGATGAAAAACTGAGACAGTAGAGTACGCGTTTGTCCATCCTCGATGTCGCATGCCAATTTACCAAAGTAAGGGGTTCTCCTCGAAAAAGGACACCCCACGCCGAACTGCCGTGTCTCTTGTAAGTGGTCCCGTGTTGTCCAGGAGGTGCGGTTCAAGGTGCACGACCCGAAGGCACACAGCAAAGGCGGAACGCTCGAGAACACCATAAACGGACGAGCCGACGAGGAGGCAGCGCCGGCGCCGCAACATCTCATTCATCCTGGCAAGGATATCAGCAAGCTTTACGGTACGATCAAATATTCCCCCGTCACCCAACCTATCGACTTATTTCGAGATTTTCCATTTCAACGGAAGAAACCGAAGTTTGTCTAATTCCCTAGGTTACCTGTTCTCACACCTTTTAGCTAAATTGGCAGTGTAGAGATCGATAAGTATAGAGAACGCTTAGAAACAAAACTGAAAAAATATTACACAGAGAGCTACGTAGAAAGATGTTTAATTGTTACGAATTAACTCTACTCAAGCCTTTTCCCATCCACAGTCAATGGTAAAATTATCCTCCGGCAAGAAGTAAGATACCAATGCATTAATAGAAAAGTACATTTACACCACGATTATCAATTTCTTAAAAAAAAAATATTATGTAAATATATATATATATATATATATATATATATATATATATATGTGCTTGAATTTTCCGTCAGACGAAGCAAGATAACGCATAAATTGATTTTTCTTGCCAGGTATGACGCCATCGGATATCGATAAATACTCCCGCATCGTGTTTCCTGTGTGCTTCGTCTGTTTCAACCTGATGTACTGGATCATTTACCTGCACATCAGCGACGTCGTAGCGGACGATCTGGTGCTTCTCGAGGAAGCGAAATAAACGAAGGGAACGGCGTGTACGATCGCGCGTGTACGACAGACGAAACGTGCGGTCAAAGACAAACGTGCGAAAGTATCGGTAAGAGGGGGTGGGTCAGGGGGTGAGAGACCAGTTCGCAGAGAAGGGACTACGAAATTGATCTCAGAGAATAATTGAAACAAAAAAAAAAAAAAAAGAAATGAATATTCCGGCAGGACTGAAAGTCCTAAGTGCGCGACGGACTAAAAATAACGCTGTGATTACTTCGACGCGAAGCTGTACAAGCTAAACCGACATCAGCGTACCATGGATCGACGGAGCGGAATTGTAAAAGAAGAGGAACAAAAGAAGATCGAAGCGAGAACGATACTAAGGGAACGGCCAACTCGATCGCGAGCAACGTTTCAAACGCGAAATGGAAAGTGCCCGGACAAAAGACGTCGACGAAGAGCAAACAAACAAGCCTGCGCCTCTGTGCTTCGTTCGGACAGGAGATAGAGACAGTGGCTGGTCAGACACCGGTCGGAGCGGGTAAAACGCGCTGTGACTACTTCGTGACATTCCAATCGTTGCGCGCCGATCGTAAATCTCCCTGCGACGTGATCTTCGATTTTTGCGCGACCCATCGCTGACTTTCGTCCCCCATGTTTGATCACGACGACAACAACGGCGACCGTATTATATTATTCACGATACGCGAGAGATCGAGAATGGAAAACCGTATGAACCGGCTGGCAGAGAACAAAAAACAAAGAAAAAGAAAAAAAAAGGAACGAATGAAATGAAGAAACAGAGAACAAACGAAACGAAAATAAACAGAGAAACCAAATTGAACAAAATTAGAAATTGCGAATCCACGAGCGTGCATACTTTCAACATTGCCAGCCTAGGTACCTACCTTATAGGTCTTTAAACAGAGAAGAAGAGAATACCTTCGATTGAACACTTGTCAATTTAGCCACCATTATATACATACATATATACATACATATAAATATATATATATATATACATAGTAAAAAAAAAATTAACTAAATATAAGAGAGAATACAAAAAAAAAAGAGGAAAAAGGAACAGAGAGTTCGAGACCGACGAATCGAGATGAAGCCGACGGAAAACGAGAAAAATTCTAAGAACGAGTCGATCGAGAACTCGACGATGGTCGCTCGGATGGCGCTCGAGTGTACATGTGATTGAGCGGAACGACGAAGAATCGCGTGAATCTGCGTGTGCGAGACCGCGTGACTGTGTGTATTCTACGAGCGTCGGCGCACGTGCACGAAAAAGAATAAAGAGTCGAGGAGGAAAGGTTTTTATTTCGAACGAAGATTAAAAAAAGAAAAAAAAAAAAAACGGTTCACTACCGGAGACTGGTGCGACTTAATCCGTTAAGTAAGTACGTTCTAAGTAATCTACGTATGTAAGGTGACATACGTATGCATGCGCCGCGTAGGTGCGTCACGCACGTACGCGCGCGCATATTAGGTAATTACGTGCAGACACACGTACACGATTATCCGCGCGTCAATAAATACGCGGGGCAACGATCCTCGATGAGCAGATCCTCGCGAATGAAACGCGAACGATCCTTCGTCGCTCGATCGAGCGAGCCAGGCAGGAGGATCGATCGCGACGAACCGAATCGAAAGCATCTCGCGATGGGACGCGGCCCGAGCGACTAGCGGAGCGAGGCAACAATTTCGACGCGAGTCGCATCATTTCGAGGTAGAGCTGTTTTCTCGAATGTATTTTTTATTGCCACGAACTCGTTATGTGTGTCCGTTTCATTTTATACCACTTTTTTACCATTTATAGAACTCGTCGGACGAAGCGACTTTTATATTTCCGTCACTTCTATGACCGCGATCCTCCCTCGGAATCGTGTAACTTCCGTGGAATCGTCGCAGCGCGCGACCCTGTACGTGTTCGTGTACGTGGCTCAACGCGGGGAGTAACTTTTTAGCTCGTACTACAATACATACTACGTAGCCGCGGAGAACTGTTGCGTGTACGTAGAGATACTACTCCCAAGACGTATGATTAGGTCGGACGTAAGAGTTATTCCAATCTTTTTCTTTCTTTTTTTTTTCTCTTCTTTTTTCTTGCGCGCAAGCTCGCAAACACACAAAACGCGGGAGTGGCGAGCCAAGGATGTGTCCGCGAATTGAACCGCGAGCCTGCTCGCTGTTCGCGGCTCGCGGCTAAGCTTCTTTCTCTCCTCCCGTCGTTTAACATTGTAAACGGAACACGGAGAAGAAAGGGAAGAAGGCAGGAGAGCACCGCGATCAAACGAAATCAAACAAGCTTTCCTTTATTTACCGGCACGCAAAACGTAGAAAATTGCTTTCGCGAAAACGATTGAGAACGCGTCCTCGGCGAAGAATGCCGGTTCAACGAGCGCAGAGACGAAGAGAGAAGCAGGAGAGCGACGCGAGAGAATCTCGAGGAGATAGAGAAGAGGGGAAAAAGTGAAACAAATATCTCCGCTGAATGGTCTTTCTTTCTAATGGTTCTTCTTAGTTGCGCGTCACTCTGCCGCGAGTTATTCCCAGCCATAAACCGTAAACGCAACGGTAAGCGCTCTTGTTTCTCCCCCCATTCGAAAATATCTGCGACGTTCCATCGAGCAAAAGAACAAACGAAAAGTTGTAAGCGAAGTCGCGATCGCGGGTACCGAGCGGCGTCGTGCACAAAGCGTGCACAAAGCGTGCACACGCGAGAAAACGAGCCGCGATCGCATTTATCCTCGGCGCGTGGATTAGTTTTACCGTCGAACACACGTACACCGCGGTACGGTCCTTCCGTGGAGAGGCCCTTCGTCTTCCTCGGTAGTTGTTCCGTCGGTACGTTTTTGCTGAGTTAATTAACGCCAATTGTATGCCGTTCTACTTCCGTCTTTTGGATACTCTACGCTGCTTGCTCGCGTTTTTCCAACCTCTCTCTCTTTCTCTCTCTCTCTCTCTCTCTCTCTCTCTCTCTCTCTCTCTCCCCCTTTTTCACCCCTGTGTGTGACCGTGCGCGTTCACGGACACGAGCCGTACCACACCCGTGAATGCCAGAATCGCGCACACGAACGCGAGAATCATCTTGATTCCCCCGAAGTGCATACACGCATACGTTATACGTACACGCGTCTCCGATTTTCTCTTTCTTTCCTGAATTATTGTTTCCATCTCCGTCTCTCCTTTTCATTTCATCCCTCATCCCTCCTATCCCTCTGTCTCCTCTGTTTCTTCCAGCGTGGTTGCTGGCTGCAGACTGGGTCGTGGAAGCTTGCCATTCAGGATATCGACCAGCTGACACGCCCAACCCACCCACCACCCTCTGTCCTTCTCTCTCCTTCCCTCTATTCATCCCCCTCTCTCTCTCTCTCTCTCTCTCTCTCTCTCGCTCTTGCTCCGATTCTTTCTCCCCGTCTTTCGCGTATGTCTCTCGATCTCACTGTTCCCTTCTTTCCAACCAAGCGCTCTCCGCCGCTCTTCTCTACAATCGCCAAACAGTCCGTTTGCCAGACGCTCTTGCTCATTGTGCATTTAATAAGGAGCTTCTTGCCTTGGTACTCTGCGAGAATTCTTTATAAAAGTAGGTAATCTTGCTCGAGGATCTCCTTGGTCGCCATCCCCCTCGAATATACGGAAGATGCGGCCGAGGGAAGTTCGTGTTTGGCCGTCCCGTCCCACCGACCCGCCGAGAACCCGCGAAACGGCAACGATAACGAATGCCCCCCTTAATTAATCCCGCCACCGACGTCATTGTCATTGACGCGTTACAACGCGTGCGTTCGCATTGTTATTTCGTCGAACGATCGACCGACACACACACACGCACACGCGCACACACGTACACACAATGTGCATACACACGCTCACTTACACACACTTACTCACTCACTCACTCACGCACACACCCGTTGAATAGGCGATGCTTTCTCGATCTGGGTCGATCGCGAGCGCGGTAACGAGTCGAAACCGTAACACGCACTTAAAAGGGGGACGCGAATGCAACAAAGGGCAATCGATTTTGGGCTGGCGAAGTGGAACGGGACGCAAATTAACATTCTTAACCCTCGTTCGTCTCTTCGTTCTGCACGTATTACGATGATGTAATTGTAAGTAATACGATACTTCCACGTCCGCCCCACCGGAAGCATTATTATATGCAATTTATATATAATTGTACATCTGTTATCTACTTGGAGTCTCTATTATAGCGAGAAATGAGAAAGGGAAAAGGAACTAGCGTTTTATCGTTGTGATATATTCTATAGTGTCTATATGCATTTATTCATACGTATGTCGCGTATGCATTCATGCATACCCCACGTGTTTGTACGTATGTACGTTATATACGTGTGCCTATTGTTTACGTTGAATCTACGAGCCGTGTGTGCGCGTGTGCACGAGGAACTGGCACGTCCACGACGAAAAGTGACGAGGGTAAGGAGCTCTTCCCGTAGCTAGCGAACTATAATAGGGTAGTTAGGCTAAGCGAATTATACCGATAGAACAGAGAGAAAGGACGCCTCTCCTCGATACAATTGTTTCGCTTTTCTTTTTCTTTTTCTCTTCTCTTTTTCTTTTTTTTTTTTTTTTTTTNTTTTTTTGTTCTCTCTTTCGACGTTTTATTTCACTCTCGTGGTTGAACACGACGACGAATTAGATGATAATCCAGAAGTGCACGAACCGAACCCCGAGGAAATGAGAAACGACGCTAATATTATACCCGAAGAATCGAGGAATTGATTCGGCGAATGGAAAACCGATCGTGCAATCGTGTACACTCGAACATTTCCTGTCCATTTCTGCGCGAAATGACTGCGCGTGTGTATAATATGTATGTACGTGAGCGTATTCGATACGTTTCGAAATGGGAAATGAGCGCGCGCGAGAACGGAAACGCGATAGATACGTTCCAAGCGATAAAAATAGAGAAATTCTCGCGTAGAATGTAAACCCGTACCTCGTACGCGTGTATTACCTACACGTTCAAACACACATGCGCACGTACACGCAGATATAAACGTAATATACAAATACAATCTATATTTTCGAAAATTCACTCGAGAAACTCACTCGTTTCGCTCGTCTGTCTACAGATCTCGTACACCCTCGGAACGCCCAAATTGATGCCCGAGACACGATTGCACAACTATTGGCAAGCGGTTCGCGCAACAACAAAATATGTATCCGTAAACGACGGCGCTTGGAACTTTCTTGATGTTTCTTTTCTTCAGCGGCGCGACGCGTGAACCAAAAAGAGAGAGAGAGAGAGAGAGAGAGAGAGAAACGTTTAAAGAAACGAAAGAAATTCATCAATCCGCGATGTAACGTCATCGGCGAGCACACTTGCACCACGAAACAAGCTGACGCACGTGTTAGCACGTGCCTTGAAAATCGCGCGCCAGTTCCTCCGAACCGACCACGGTCAATTATTATTATTATTATTATTATTACTATGGTTATTATTGCTATGGTTATGATTATTATTATTATTATTATTATTATTATTACTATTATTGATACTATTATATATATTATATATATAAACGTTTCAAGGATGAAAAATTAGAAATTTACGATGATCTCTGTCCTCTGGCAGGATAAAAGACGAAAAGAACAAAAGAATAAAAAAGAAAATGAACGAAAAAAAAGGTGAAGACTCGCGTTATCGACGGTCACCTACGTATATATATATATAGATATAAATATTACCGCGTAATTACATTACCAAAGTGAAACGGTATCGTTTAATTATCGGTGAGCACCGCCGACGCGCGCGCAGGCATCTCGGTATTTAAATGAAACGAAATAAAACAAAAAAAAAAAATCCAAAAAAAAAAGAAAGGATGAAACCCGAACATTAAAAAAAAAAACAGAAAAAATAATGAAAAATAGGAGAAAGAGAAGAAACCTATTAATACTATACAAATCGATCATCTTGTAAATACGAGTTTTATACAGAGCGATTGTATTCGTTAAAGAAACAAAAAAAGAAAAAAAAACAGAGTACCTACTGCGAAATAATATATACATATTATATATATACATATATATATACATATTATATATATATAAATATATATACGCAAATGTAGTGCACACGAGAATGTGACTGTTCGCACATATTTAGGTAAATCACTTTTAAAGTATAGGGTGAACAAAGAAAAAAAAAAAAAAAAAGAAAAAACAAACAAAAGAAGTAGACTGGAGGCACGTCGGGGGACCGAAGTGAGTACGTACATTCGTTCGTTCGTTCGTTCGGTAGTGAGTGATTAACTGAAAAAAATGTTTGTTAAATTAGTGTGAAAGGAAACGAAGACGAGGAGAGAAAGAGAGAGAATATTTAAGTATTTCAAAGAAAGAAAAAAAGAAAGAAAAAAAAGCAAAAAAAAAAAAAACGGAAAAAAAAGAGAAAAAAACAAACGTAGCGAATGATTGATGAGCGGCGAGCGAGAGTATTTTCCACAATCGACGAATCGATCGAGAATCGTGCACGAAACAACGAGGACGACCACCCGGCCACGATTGTTCGAACTGGTTTACATATTTTACGCCTGCTTGCGAGAAATTCGTCGGGTGTGCCGAACGAACGTGCAGAGTCGATACAACTCTAACGCTAACTCGATTCTAAAGTAGAACCAAATTCAATTTCTCGATTCTGTACGATCGATCGAGCATTCTTCGAGTCGCGTCCGGGATGTTCGGGAAACGCGTGATCTTTGCTCAATACGAGAGAGAAGCTCCTCGATCGGTATGCGCGTCGTCGTGCGCAAATTTTCATTTCGAATCAGTCGTTGTTTGTAATTCGTATGTAACAGCAGAACGCAAAGGGTAGCACGATTCTTGTTTCTCGTTGTTCGACGATATACCGATAGAATATGCACACAGACAGAAGAAAATGTTCCTATCGAGAGCGCAAAGTATTTTCTACCGACCGTAGATCGACCAAAGACAAACAAACCTTTCTTTTCGTGGACAAGATTCGACGCGTCGCGGTGGTGGTCGCCCTCGTCGATGCACTGACAAACGTAAACGAACAAGAAAGCATGGCACGGGCGTGCACACGACAAGACCATGTGAGTTCAAATCGCGTTGTAACGAAAACTGCCAACTTCATATTGCAATATACGTTTTAGTCAATCGTGGCGATGCACGGGAAAAGAAATAAAAAAAAAAATAATAATAATAATAAACCAGTCGACGAAACAAAGGAATTAGAGAAAAAAAAAAAAAAAGAAATATAAGGACTAAGCGACTAAGGAATTGGGAAATCTGTCTGGATGGGTGTTAAACACCTAGAGACCTATTTTCGGTTGGAACGATCGATCGATAGCAGGAGAATACTCGGAGCAACGTTTCTCCCGTTATTTTCGTTCGCACCCAGTTCGATTTCACGACGAACGATCCGCTGGCGTTCGCTGTACCGCCGCTTACGCTGTTCGCGTCGACGCACGGGACGAAACACGCGCGCAAGAGCTCAACGATCTCGACGAACATTTCGATCAACTCGAACATTAGCGATGTATCTTCGAACGGATAAACCGTGTTCAACGTGTTTTGTAACCTGTATCCGTTCCCTTAGGTTTCGTAGCCGAACGACAAAAATGAACAAAGAACAAATTTGTATCATCCTGCTCAAAATAAAATTAACACCGCCGGGTTATAAATATATACCACTGGGCGTGTCTGACTACTACACATAACAAACATATGAATTGATTTAGCAGCCAACCTTTTTTAATTTAGAGAAGTTTGATTTTAGAAACGTAGATGAGAAAAGAGATAAACCGACGGAGAAGAACTGAATCGGAAGAGATACGTACAGTACGTTACGTTCGGAGTAACTCGTTGCTCAATGATCGGTTTTTAAGCGAAAGACATTAATATTAATACGAACAATCCGTTTTAATATTGCTCGTAGCTTATTAAAACAGATCAAAAAAAAAGGGGGGGGGGGTGGAAGGGAAGAATATAACAAACATGTGAACTTTAATTGATTAATAAGATGGTTTACATTAGACTCGAATAACTATTGAATATTTATACTTTAATTTAGCCTCCCGTTGCTTTCGTACCACCTCGCGTATTTATTATAACGAGATTCTTGAGACTTTCACTTCTGACCTCACTTCTTCGCAGTTTCTTATATTGTTCGAGGTTCCCGTGAATGTAAATGATTTTTTTTTACGACTCTAATAAATCTACTTTTAACGGCATCGCAAGAACCAGCGAGTTCATTTTGCAGGATAGCTAACATTCTTAGGCAAATTAACTCTTTACGATCCAGTGTCACGTATGGCGTCGAGCTGATAAACGTTTGCCAAGGAAAAAAGTGTTGACCTGCTCGTTAAAAAAGATGAAAGAAAATATCGAGCAGAGATCAGTATCGTGATAACGTATTTCCCTGAAAAATCGGAAAATTTCTATCGATACGCCCTGTATCTCGGTTGAAGTTGCACGAAATGCCAACGAAACTTCTCGAACTGTTTTCTAAACGGGAGCCATTCACACTTTGAAACCTCGAGCAGTATCAGTAGACGTCGGGCGTAAATATACGCGAGCGTGTACTCGCCGGTGTATTTCTGTTCTCGAGTCTGATCAACGAGAAAGCATGTCCCGCTTCGTATTACGCAAGTTTGCAATTTCGTTCGTATAGTTGCCAGAAATCTTTCGGAACTTGGCACGCTCCCTACCGTTCGTAAACCGCTTGAAACTTCGAAACCCAAACTCCGTATCCGGAGCGTTCTCATACACCAACGAAAAATAAACGAGTTGTTCCCAGAGTGTTAGAGCAGAGCCGTGCGGAACGTCTTCGACGAGATGGCGATCGGACGGCGATCGAACGGCGATCGAACGCGACATCGAGCCGAATATAAAGATGCGGAATTCGAGGGCCGACGATCGGGTTAATGGCGATCGTGCTAATGGACGACCGAAGGAAGAAGAACGAAAGTACGACAAGGTATCGCGCGACGAATTGTCTTGACAAGAGTATCAAATTCTAAAATGTATTTAATAACACACACTAACTGCATTATGTTGTAGAAACGTATTCTACGGTCGTTAACGATAAGAAGAACAATGTAGATACACGCAGCGAACACGTTCACACATGTACATGTACGCACACGATAAACGAGCAAAGACAAACATACAGACACTATCACACGCGTATATACAATATAACACGATACTACAATGTACACGTACAGACGAAGCATACCCCGTAGGTTGGGTGATTACACATCTCGAGGCGATTATACATATATAGGTATAATTAATTATAAATATATATATATATATATATATATATATAAATATAAATATATATACATACCAGCACTTGGTAGATATAGGTACACCCATACGTTTACCTATACTACCTTAAGAAAAAATAAATAAATAAAATTAAATGAACAAGAGGAAGACACTTCTACGTGGCTGCGACGCGACTAGGAGGAGAAAGAGAGCGCGATGAGAAAGAAAGTGATGAGAAGAAGATACAGAACCGGAGAAAAACGGGGAGAGAAGAATTGGACGGTGTTGCATGTTACACGACAAGAGCGTATATAGCGGCAGTGCGAATATACATACATACATACATAACACACAATAGCGTAGACTTAATAGAATCTGTGAGAGTGTGACTGACTTAATCGAGAGAGCGTGAATCGTACGTGAAAGAATGTGCGTGTGTACACTATTGCATACGTGAGTATTTCCGTGGTCTGTATTTTATTGCGGAAGTTCCTGTTCCTCGAGAATTAACGAGAAGAAGTTTAAACGAAGACGAGATGGCAGCGACGTTGCAAAATACATATATAACGTGTAATCGAGACAAAATCGAACCGCGTAAATTACCAAGTTTTTTGTAGATCCTTAAAGAAAGAAAAATAAGAAAAAAATATATATATATATACCGATTGCGCGGGTGCCTCGATATCTGCCCGATTGTTCGATCTTTTTCCCTGCGTTTCGTTCGAGAAGAGTCGAGAATATCGTTTTGCACCGCGACCGCGAAGATCACTTTTTGTTCGCAAAAGAAATGAAATAAAATCAATTGAGAAACGTGATACACACACACACACACACATATATATATATACTTACGTATAATATTTTCTTTTTGAGATTTAATGAAACGACGAGAAACAATATAAAGCGAATAAAAGAAAAGAGAAACGGGCAGATTACGGTACGCCCTTAATATATAATTAGCCGTGCGCCATTAAAGAAACCGTTTTTTGTAATATCCGAATAAAATGCATGGTCGACGACAACATATATAAATATCAGCTCAATTACCATTGATCGTCCCACAGTAAGGCGATTGTCCGCTGAAAAATAACCACTCCCAACCCTTCAACGAATAACGTTATCAGAAAGCGCGCGTACGTAGACAAAAATTTATTACTTTACTAGTAATCGCGACACAGATTGTGCGGTACAAATGAAAATTCTATCGACGAAAAGAAGAATCCTAGGCCAACTTCGATGCTCACGAAACGCCAGATAGAAAACTGTTCGTTATACAAGAGAAACGTGAACGATTTATATAACCTACCAAAACACCAAAGAATACACGAAAAGCGAAACTCAACGAAAGCAACGTTCAGTCTTTGATACTTTCCAAACCTACATCTCTTTGTTACTCGCGTTCCACCATTGCTCTTCTTTCTATTTCTGTTACTTGATTTTACAGCTATTCTAATAACATTACGCTTGACCATCGCCGTTACGCAACTAGCTGAACAAACGTTAAACCGTGCCCGCCGTGTTACGCGGATCACGTAAATCGAGTTACAGTTCTCTCTCGACCGACCTCAGTCCCGATATTTTCAACGAGCATCTTGGCAACAACGAGGAGAACTCGTGCGAGCTTTCTTTGTAACAGGTCAATAACACGATACCTATTCTATCCTCTCCTATTTAGCAATACCTATCGACACAAAGAAAATTTTATCTGGATCCCGACGTAAATTAATATCGAGGGACGATGTTCAATCAAGACAGCCAATATTCCATCTCCTCGCAAGAGTTCAAGATGAAACTCTTCTTGCGAAACAATTTACATTCTCGACTACGAACGAATTCTCGACTAGTAGAATTGAAACAATTATTATGACGATACGGTGATTTGTCGCGATTCGAGCATCGCGGAAGATAGATATTTTCCATTCCCAATTGTAGGAGCCAAAAATTTAGTGATTGCATTGCATCTGACGATTTGTGAAATATGAGATCTCTAGTGACATATTTGACAAATGTTTCTTAGATTACACTTTTAAAGATATTTCATTCTGCCAGTGGAGGATTAATTATCGTTCGCATCATTTCGTCGTGTACCGTGCTTCATTTTTGTGTTTCCAACGACAATTTCATCAACCATAGTTCACAATCTGAGCGCAATTCGAGACGAAACGATTATATTGTAAATAAATCAGATGATAGAAGAGAGAGACAAAAGAGTGAGACAGAGAGTGTGAGAGAGAGAGGGAGAGAATGTGAGGGAGAAAATGTAAATGCGATGGGAGAAAGAGAAAGAATGTACGCATGATGAGTATATTAATAAGTTATAACACACAATCGTATTAAATGTCAGAATTGGAGAATTGGAGCTCGCGCTAACAGACGAGAATACATTAAAGGGACGTAAGCGTGTCCTCGCGTTCGTGTGTCGTTTAACTAAAAAATGATTTAAAAAGAAATATATATATATATATATATAAAAGAAAGAAAGAAAGAAAGAAAGAAAGAGATGGTCAAAACAAAAGATAAAGAAGGAGTAAATAAAACAGAGGCTCTCCTAGTTACTTGCTCATTGAAATAATATTCTAAATAACGTTCGTAACGGAACAAAAGTCTAGATATGCATCAATGTAATGAGAAATAATTTTACGTACATATACATAAGATTGACGCGCGCGCGGCTGCAGACATGCGCGCGCACACACGCGCCATTTCTTTACTTTTCGAACTACGGGCCTTCCGAGCCCAACCTTACCAGTGATCCATATCGATCTCGCAACACCGCGACTTGTTCCATGACATCGTAGAATGTATCGAAAGATTGTAATGTTTTAACAATATTTTCGAGTAACAGCTACTGTTATAAAAAAAAAAAATGAAAAAAAAGATCCTTCCCTCTCTTTATTAATATTTATAAATTCACGCTTTCTAGCAACAGAGTATTGATATAGTAATAATGGAACTTTAACATAATCGAATAATAGAAATTGTTAAAAGAATATTATAAACATTGAAAGTAGACCGTAGAATCACTTTGCAACATTGGTGCTTTTTGAAAGGAAAGGAAAAGAACATTTCTAGATTCTGCACTGAGAACACAACTCATACTATTTTCAACAATTAAGCACGGTATATATTTTTGATTGAGATAAATTTGCGCTCTACGATAGATTTCTCTTAACCGAGGATCCATTATATTTATAATGCTATTTATTTTATAAAATTACATACTCACTTGTAAATTCATTAAAAATGAAAAAATAGCTTTCATTAAAAAAATGTATAAAGAATTGTTCATAGAAAGTTTTCTAAATTACGTTTATACAAATATATCACAAATATTGAAAAAAAATATATATATATATTGCGGTGGCGTGCGCATGCCTGTTCGCAGCTATACGTTCACGAAGGATCACGATTTCTATATTATTAAGGTCGATCGCTGTGAGCCGTACAATTTACAGTGAGCATGTACGACTTTAACAATTAAAAGCTTATAGCAGAAAAAAAACAAAACGAGTATATAGCAGCAGAAAAAGAAAAGATACCACCCGATACCTGACGCATAACCATCTTTAAATGACGGCGAATACAGCATACATTGTTACATAAACGAGTATAACGAGTATAAGAAAATCGTATCGTTGCATGACCGATACCTAAATGAAACTATTACTACGTGATACGACATTATTATGTAAAAGTTTTTATTGCGTGAGTAAAATTATATTATGGATGAAAATGTGTACCTTGTAAATAATAAATCTCGTCCTTTTCTTCGTGCATCGAACACTACCAACCAAACAATATCCTTCGTACGCACGTTTCAATCAGAATTTATTAATAATTTCGTCTTTCTTACGTTCTTGATAACAATCTGCGTTCCTACAAAAGAACTATTAAATTCTATTCACTCGTTAATTGATTGGAATATATTTTCCCACAAAAAGACTGCATTATTTCACGAAAAAAGATAAAAAATTACACAGACCGTTTGAACGCGACATATGTCATTTGCAAATGGCGTCACATTTTCAACGTTCGTAGTCACGTGATTGTAAATTTCTGTTGTACCCAATGAAGGTATCTAGATTGCTAGTATTTACTTTTACCGATAGATGGCAAACTAATGTAAAATCGACAGCATCGTTACAATGAAAACGCTTGTTATTAAAAATTAATTTCATTTTATTTCTTCAATAAATCATATTTGATTTCTGAATACATGCGTTCTTGTCCTTACATTTGTCCTCACATTTCAAAAATATAGAAGAATATAAACATTTTCAACAATGCTGCAGACTTTTCCAGAAGCTTGTATATCTCCTTTTTAATCAATACTGTCAGCCTTTCATACAAATATCATTACGTTATATTAAATTTTCAAATTGAATTAATAACACAAAATATAAGATATATATATAAGATAAAGATCGTACATAATATACTATAAAGGCTTGCATGTATATATAAGTGTATACACATCCTCAAATTTGCTTAAGCCAAAAAGGACTCGAATCAAATTGTATATCTTGGAACGCTTGTTTGCCATTAAGTGAAGGAATATTTAACTAATTTTTTTATTAATGCATATCTTTTAGAATTAAAATTATTTGTGTCAGAATCAAGAATATCATTTTAAGCTTGAAAATAGTGTTAAATCTCACCTAACCTTTTTACTGTCGACAGTACTACAATTACATTTTTACCTAACTTTTTATTGTAATCCTTACAAATAAAAAAATAGGACGCTCCATTTTTCTTTGTTTCATGTTGCATCCACAAAATAGAAGCAAGGTTAAGGCGCACAAACGTTCTTATATTTCGTATTTATCACTTTTACGTACAATTATCTATGTATAATGTATAACAATGAAAATATAATATTTAGAACACTATAATATGTATTATATTGCCGTAGTTTAATATTTTTCACTTGTCTCTATTAAAACTGAACCTCTAAGAATTTCTTAGCACTTTTATTATGTTTACTTTTCGGTATAACATGATGTTTTATAACATCCTTCATTATCCTATGGATTTTTTAAACATTATATTTTATTAAATAAATTCTATTAAAATTGTTTTTACAAATCTAACACAAAAGAAGAATAAGATTCGGCGAATATCGTGCGTTGTTTAATATAGTTCTGCGAATATAAAGTATCATTGATCGTGCCCGACGACCTCATATTCACTTTCTTGAATTATGTATATAAAGAAAAAACTATTATCTCGAAAAAATGTATCCTGACACTCTATTTAGAAGAATTTAAATGTTGATATATTTATTTATAAAATATATTATAAAATTGTTTCCTTTATTCTTAAACGAAAATATCAATAAACAATTTCGAAAACATTTTAAAATATTTCGTTTTAAGGAAACTGAACAAATTTGAAAAAAATGATATAACATTTTAAAAGAAAAAAATAATATTAATCGTAAGAAAATGTAACAAATAACAAATGTAACAAAACTGCAAATCATACTGTAAAAAATTTGCGAAAACTTCAATTGTGGAAAACACGAGGTAACTACATATATCTTTATAAAGGACTTTATATAAGAACATAAAAGAAATCATGATTAAATAAAATAATTACCCTGACTGCGATACTAAGTAGCAATTTCATGGTTTTATACTTTTATAGTAAATATTCCGACTATTCTTTTGCAGGCCACAAAGAGTACATATTAACATGCACTTTATGAAAGAATATGATATGATATATCAAATGTTATAAAAAAATATCATAAACGTGAAAAAAAGCGCTACGTACACAATATCAAGCCGCGTTATATTCGTCTTTAACATATACATATATACACGCAATATTGTAGAAAATTTCGGTATTCGTCGCATGAGCTTCTCTCAATTCTCAGCTCCGAGGTATCGCGATGTTTCTAGCATGTGTAGCCATATCGTCATTTCCGGTTACTACGTAAGTAGATTCAAACAGTACTACTTATTAGGATCTTCACTTGAATCATTCTTTAATATTGTAGATTAAATATATTCGTAATTACTTTTACAATTTTTAAAGATATTCGCTTGAAAATTTTATGCAGAAAATTGCCAATGAATATCGATTATAACAGCTCACATGATAGAATGTTCTAGAAATCGGGCGGGCTTCCGGCAGGTGCCTTCTAGAATTTTCAAAGCTCGATAAAAGCGGCCGTTGCGCGCTAGTATTCAATACTCTGAAAAGTGACGGCAAGAGAGGCTGATCTCTGTGAGCGGTATAAAGCTATATTTCCCCTGCGATTATACGTGCGACGTATTCTCAACGTAGTGTAAAGCAAATTATTCCTTATTAACTTGTGCGCGTCAGTATTTAATTTTAATTTTACGTGAGTAAATACAGTGAAAAAAATGCCAGAGGATGTCACCATGGTCGGTGCCGGCGAGGTGGAAACCTTCGCCTTTCAGGCCGAAATTGCACAATTAATGAGCTTGATTATTAATACTTTCTACTCCAATAAAGAAATCTTTATTCGAGAATTGATTTCAAATGCATCTGATGTAAGTAGTATTTAATTTAATATTATATCATTGATATCTTTCTCGTTAAGTAATTAAAATTCTTTAAGTTAAACGATTTTTATGTGAAGTGTTAAACAATTTTGCATTATTTTATATAAAACAATAACTGATAATTTTTATTGTCTTTATGTAGGCATTAGACAAAATCCGTTATGAATCTCTCACAGACCCGTCCAAATTGGACACATGCAAGGAATTATTCATCAAGATCGTTCCCAACAAGAATGAACGTACCTTGACTATTCTTGACTCGTAAGTATTAGATTTTGTTTCGTAATTTTCTTTGTATGTCGAAAATTTCAATCTATTTCGTTCATTGTATAAATTTCATATTGTGAATTCAAAAAATGAATTATTATAAAATCAATTTAAAAAGTTTATGATTTGTATAAACTTATTTTCATGTTAAAAAACAGAAAATAAATGAGGAAATTTTTCTTATAGTGGTATTGGCATGACAAAAGCTGATTTGGTTAACAATTTGGGTACTATTGCTAAATCTGGAACAAAGGCGTTTATGGAAGCTCTTCAGGCTGGTGCAGATATTTCTATGATTGGTCAGTTTGGTGTGGGTTTTTACTCCGCCTACCTAGTAGCAGATAAAGTTGTAGTCATCTCGAAACACAATGATGATGAACAATACGTATGGGAATCTTCTGCGGGTGGTTCCTTCACTGTCCGCCCTGACTCTGGAGAGCCAATTGGAAGAGGTACCAAGATTATCTTGCATATCAAAGAAGATCAAACTGAATATTTGGAGGAATCTAAAATCAAGGAAATTGTCAAGAAGCACTCTCAGTTTATTGGCTACCCAATTAAACTTGTTGTTGAAAAAGAAAGAGACAAAGAACTAAGTGAAGACGAAGAAGAGGAAGAAGAAGAAGAAAAGAAGGAAGGAGAGACTGATGATACCAACAAACCTAAGATCGAAGAAGTTGGAGAAGATGAAGATGAGGATAAACCTAAAGATGAAAAGAAAAAGAAAAAGAAGACAATAAAAGAAAAGTATACTGAAGATGAAGAATTGAATAAGACAAAACCAATTTGGACGAGGAATCCAGATGACATTTCGCAAGAAGAATACGGCGAATTCTACAAGAGCTTAACCAATGATTGGGAAGATCACTTGGCTGTCAAACACTTCTCTGTAGAAGGTCAATTGGAATTCCGGGCATTGCTCTTCATTCCACGTCGTGCACCTTTCGATCTTTTCGAAAATAAAAAGAGGAAGAATAACATCAAATTGTATGTACGCAGAGTCTTCATCATGGACAACTGCGAAGACCTTATCCCGGAATACCTTAACTTCATCAAAGGTGTTGTGGATAGCGAGGATCTTCCACTGAATATCTCTCGTGAGATGTTGCAACAAAACAAAATCCTCAAAGTTATTAGGAAAAATCTTGTCAAGAAATGTTTAGAACTATTCGAAGAATTGTCTGAAGATAAGGAGAGCTACAAAAAATGCTATGAACAATTTAGCAAAAACATAAAATTAGGTATTCACGAAGATAGCCAAAATAGAAAGAAACTCTCAGAATTACTTAGATATCACACATCTGCATCTGGAGATGAAATGTGCTCACTGAAAGATTATGTTGGAAGAATGAAGGAAAATCAGAAACACATCTATTACATCACTGGTGAAAGCAGAGAGCAGGTAGCTAATAGCTCATTCGTAGAAAGAGTTAAGAAACGTGGTTTCGAAGTAGTGTACATGACAGAACCTATTGATGAATATGTTGTCCAACAATTGAAAGAGTTCGATGGCAAACAGTTGGTATCTGTAACAAAAGAGGGCTTGGAACTTCCTGAAGATGAAGAAGAGAAGAAGAAACGCGAAGAAGACAAGGCTAAATTTGAGAATCTCTGTAAAGTTATGAAAGACATCTTGGACAAGAAAGTAGAAAAAGTTGTAGTATCTAACAGATTAGTTGATTCTCCATGCTGTATCGTTACATCGCAATACGGATGGACGGCAAATATGGAAAGAATCATGAAAGCACAAGCTCTCCGGGATGCATCCACTATGGGATATATGGCTGCTAAGAAGCATTTAGAAATCAACCCAGACCATCCAATTATGGAAAACTTGAGGCAAAAAGCTGAAGCTGATAAGCATGATAAATCTGTAAAAGACTTGGTCATGCTTCTTTTCGAGACTGCACTTCTCTCCTCTGGTTTTGCGCTTGAAGATCCACAAGTACACGCATCTAGAATATACAGGATGATCAAGCTTGGTCTTGGTTTCGATGACGATGATACACCGAATGTGGAAGACGAGAAAATGGATACAGAAGTTCCTCCATTGGAAGATGACACAGAAGAAGCATCTAGGATGGAAGAAGTAGATTAAGGCTTCTATTGTTTAAAATTATTTAACTAAATCCAAAGACTTCTAGGATGTAGAAAGACTGTTACAAATTAATTCTATTTAAGTACTGAATCTTTTTTTTTTTTTTTTTTTTTTTTTGTCTTTCTATACGTGACAGAATGAAGTGTCATACTTACTTAAATATTGTATAATGCTAATCTATTTATTTGATAAATATGAGAAAGCATAAGGGTTTCGTGCATTCCGCAAATAGCAGCGCACTTTCAAATTAAGCCTGCCACTTGATTCTGTCTCTAAATTCTTTTTTTATGATGTCATTTTCATGCGTCTTGTATCATTTTAATTTTTTTGCATTGTACATCATTACGATTTCATTTTGCACTTTCATCATTCCATTTTGAAATCGTCATGTAGCCTGATAAAAAATTGAAATCGTTATAAACAGTTTTATGCGTAATAAAACAACCTAACATTAAAATGTTTTCTAAATTCCCCATCACTTAAATTCCCTATCTTCAAAATCTTCTAACCTTCTATTGA